AATACTCGTAGGCAGTACGTGGCTCGGACCTAGATGGGTTCCTCCCAAAGGCGGGTCCCCCGGTTCTATACCCAAATATAATACAACATACTACAATGCCTTCAATGGAATATGAAAGTTTTTGAAAATCATCCCTGCATTGTTGAGGGGGGCTCCCAGTTTTGTTTGTAGTCACCATATGCCTATGCCGAGAAACCCAAAAGCCTAAGGCCTAAGCCTAAAACCGGAAAGACTATGCATCCCCATATAGGGTATAGTGCCCCTTGAGTAGACAGAATATGGGGTATCTGGGGATCTTGTTATAATATACCCAAAGGCATATTCTATCTAGTTAAGGGGGAATATACATTATTTGGGCACCCCCAGATAGGACAGACCCCCTAAGAAGCACACATAGACGATTTCCAAAAGGGAACCTAGAGGTTACCTAGGGGGTCTGACCTAACTGGGGGGTCTCTTGCTTACTGGTTCTTAGTAGGGAAGAGTGGAAGATACTCCCTATATAATCCCAATCTAAGATATTCCGGTATTCTTTACTAACCCCCAGTAAGCTTGGGGATTTACCTGACCATATGCACAAGCTGGGGGAGCCTGCACGGTGAATCTCACCTGTCCAGCGCGGCGAGTTTAGGGTTTTGGGTTAGGAGCGCTTGGCTTGGAGAATGGGGTGTAGGAATTGCGTTTGGAAGGTTTAGTGTGACTTCTTTTCATTCCAAACCTGTAGCAAAACACTCGCCACTCGCCTGGCTGTATGGAGCTTCTACACAAACTGAATCATGTCACTTCCCTTTGGGGGGCATCTAAACAGGTTACAATATGTCAATGCCAAACCTAAAACTAAGCCGCGTGCACGGCTGTAGGGGGCATCTAAAAGGTTTGAACTGTGTCAATTACAATCCTGAAGCCTTAGCCATTTGCTCGGCCCGGGGGACATCGAAAGAATCCCGAAGGGTGCAAGGACCCAAATAATGGGGCTTTAGGGCCCAAATACCATTAATTGTGTAGCATTTGGGCCCTAAAACCCTATTATTTGGGTCCTTGGACCCTAGACCCTAAACCCTAAACCCTAAACCTCATTATTTGGGACCTTGGACCCTTAGGGAATGGCAAGTCTTCAGCTGGAGCTCCAAAGCCAAAGCTGCTTGACTTAGGCTTCCGGCGGGACAGAGTTTAAGGTTTTGGATTCAGAAGCAGCGCTACCAGCATAATCCCTACAACCGGCAGATACTTGGAGAGTCAGGGAAATTTTGCATGTAGGGTAAAAACCTCTACAAGCCGCAGAATAGTACCAGCTCTCCCCATCATTAACCTCATTACTAAGTCCACGTGACCCTCCAACGGAGAACCACATGAAAAGTAAAGCGCAGGATCACATCGAAACTGGGATTGCATAAGGGCTCCAAGGGTCGATGCCAAAATGCATGACCATAAGTAACTTATACAGTTGGGAACTCATCTGTTACAGTACCCTAAACCCTAAACCCTAAACCCTAACCCCTAAACCCTAAACCCTAAAGCCTAAACGGAATTTCTAGTGTCAGCAGTAGCCTAACAGGCGGCCTCTCTCATATACGCCCCAAACCCTAAGCATGTTGGCTTCTGGGTTTCCCAAGGTGGCTTGTCGGCTATATGCCTGCTATACCATTCCTCATGGTTAGCTGCACCCCCCCCCCCACCCCCCAAACCTGTAATAGAGCCATAACTAGGGTTTGGGGTTGAGGGTTTGGGATGTAGGAGACCCTGGTACAATCATCTAAGCTGTGAGGTGTGAGCCCGCTTGGAGGTCGAGACCAATGGGACGAGCAATATGCGTTTCGCTCTTCCACGCATACTCTTGAATTGAAAGGTAGGAATATTACAAAAACAAGGGTTGTCATTCATGCTCAGTAAACACAGATCACATATATGATATCAAAACCGTAAGCCCTACCTGGACCCCAAAAGTAGCTAAAATAATAGCCCAAACCACCTACAAACAGCCCAAAAGGCAATTATTTTACATACTTATGGGGTTCAGGTAAACTCTAAACCCTAAACCCTAAACCTGATTGCAACTTGGGTCCCCCCACTTAGACTCTTTGCACTTGGCGCACCTCGAGGGGGCCTGTGTTCTCCAGGCGCAGCGGCTCGGTAATGGAAGCGATCGGCCTAAGCTTAGAATTCAGGAATGGGCAGACCCGTCTTCTAAACCCTAAACCCTACACCCTCTTTATAGGGACGCCTGTAACTAGGACCCGTTTCTTGGAAAGCCCTACTTCTGTTAGCGGTTTTGTGGCAGCTTGCCGGGTTTTGGGTTCAGGCTTTAGGGTTTAGGGTCTAGGATGTAGGGCTTAAGGTTTAGGGGATTCATCAAGCATCTTTGGAAAGACAGAGACCCCCATTCATGGGCTGGAGATGCACTCAGTGGCCTGGGCCATTTCATACCCTTGGTGAAACCGCACCTGGTGGGGAGCTGAAGGTTTAAGGTTTAAGGTTCAGCGTTTAGGGTTTAGAGTGCCTAGGGATTCGGATAACTATCCCTGGGGGTCTAAACCCGACCGTCTAATCCGTAAAACAGATACACCCAGCCCCTGAACCCTCAACTCGAAACCCCTACTACAGACTCAGAACTCTGTAGATCCTAAACACTAAACCCGGAACCCGAAAACCCGTAGACCCTAAACCCCAAGCCCTGAACTCTCCCCCAAACCCAAGTGTACTTGTGGGGTTTGGGATCCTTTTAAAGGACTTCAGGGGAGTACGTTGGCTCATATAAGGGCTATATTGGGGAAACCTTTTAGGGATAAGACCCTAGGGGTGCAAAACCTGGAACCCTTGACAGACCCTAAACCCTAAACCATACACCCTCACCCTAAACCACCTGCAACTCCCTTCGTGGTACCCTAGCTTGCTTTGGGCCAGGCCGATTCTTGTCCCACAAGAACTCGAACTCCAGCCGGCTCTTAGAGAGCCTGGGATCTCCAAGAACATGTATAGGGTTTAGGGTTTGGGGCTTATGGTTTAGGGTTTGGGGATTTAGGGTTTAGGCATTGGGGTTAAGGGCTGTTTAGGGGCTAGGTTTAAGGGGTTTTGGCCTCTAGGGTGTTCTCAAAACTACGGTCCGCTTTGGGTTACAGATTATATTACGGCACCTTATATGTAGGGGTACTAAAATGGGACCCTACTTTTGAAAACTAGCCATGTAGGGTTTAGGGTTTATACGGCTTATAGGGCTCTCGGGTTAGCGGTGTAGGGTTAAGGATTAGGGATTGAGGGATGTTATCCCAATAATGGGATGTGACATTAGTAATGGAGAATCAAACGGACAAGAAAATTGGACATGAAACCGAATCTGGGTGTATGTCGAGTTGTTTATAGTATTTGGGTTTAGGAGTTCCGAGTTGTCGGTTTAGGGCGAGGGTTATGGTTTGAGGGCTTCGGGCTTAGGGGGGTTGCAGAAGAACATTTTATGAATGGTTACACAAACACAGGAAAAATGCGCGGTTTTTGGCTATTGGGCTGGAGTTTCTGAGAGCAGGGGTAAACCCTAAACCCCAAGCCCCTAAACCCCTAATCCTTTAAGTCTTCAGGGCCCATGGAAATCATCTTCGGACTTATTACTTGGAGGTTCATGGGACTTAGAGTGCAGTCAATATTTCCCACATAATTCGTGAACATGCAGAAGTCCCTACTAGGGACAGAAATAATGACGATACCATTCCACCAAGGGTACCCCATGTTCCCCTTTTCTGATCTCTTAGTAACCCTAGTATTGATTGACAGTAGCTCATATGAATGATATGTGCATGATTGCAGTGGGAAAAGCAGAACATCCCTTCTCTGCTACAATCAGGGGCGTATGTTGTACCCCAGCTGGGTGGCCGAAACAGCTCCCCCAACCAACAAACTCAACGCTCAACAATAAACTCTACACCAAAAAGAATGAAACCCTAACCCTACACCCCTGAACCCAATCGAGGGAACAAAATGGAATCGTTTCCTGGTAATTGGCAGTCGTTGCAGGACTGGGTTATGGGAGACGAGTATAAAGGACTGCAAGAGGGATGCATTCCTCCATTCGCCATCAACCACCCGCAGGACGGACCGTGTCCTTCATACCTATGGGATGCCACTGTATATAGGCTTATATGGAGCTATATTGGGCCTATTCAGTGCTAGACTATAGGGCCTATGGTTATATAGGGAATACTGGAAAGGAGAATGGAAACAGCTACGTTGTATTGAGGTAGCCCTGAACAAGACTCCGCAGCAACAGAGCATGGTATCTCCCACCCTCCCAGATCTTTCTTGGTCTTGAAAGCTCAAGACTAGGCTAGGGCTAAGCTTGTAGTACGTGGAGCCGTAAGAATTGCAAACATCATATTGAGGTCTACGTTATCGGCCCTCTGGCATAACTATACAAGGACTATGGAACTATAATGTTGGCGATTAAGCGTTTCTTCTGTGAGTGCAACAGATGTACTGGACCTGATGACGCTACGTCGGCCAGAGAGGCTTTGAACTTCTCGAGCTGCCGTGCCTTGCGAAGGCTTCTCCCACTGCAAGGATCTGGCGCATGGTACGACGCCCCTTTCTCGCAGCGCTCCATCATGAGTTGGCGAAATGCAAATCCGAGCTTCTAAAGCTTGTCCAAGCCCGCGTTACATGTGAATTTACCGCAACCGCTAGCTTGAAACCATCTATTTTGCTAACTAAAGCATGATGCAAGTTGATGAAGCAAAAACCGCGAAAGGGAATGCGGAGATGCCCTGAATCGATGAAAGCGGAACCCTGAGGTTTGGGGTTGATGGGCTGCGCCGGCTATGCTGCACGCTGTGACCTAACTTGAACCAAAATGGGGACCTCCCCCACAACAACTATCTAGACGCAGTTTCCGTTCCATGTGATTGTACATTAAGGTCCCTAAAGTGGCCCAAACTGGCCACTGAGAGCTTCCGCCTGAACATGCCAGATATGTTCTGGACAGTCAACTGCATTGTCTTCGGGTGACGGTAGTCCACGATCGCACGGCCACCCATGCTGCAGCCTGTGATGATATTGTGGTCCCGCCCTCGTCATCAGCATGCACATTGACCACCATGTCGGGCGGCAGCTCATCCTCCACCATCTGGAAGACCACACCCACCCAGTGCCGGTCGCTCACGTAGAGCACATGCTGGTCCAGGCGCTCCTGGTACTTTAGCAGGACCTGAACCCCTGGCAGCCAGTTTAATTCAGGCTTGCAGGATTCAACGTTTTGCGCCTGGGTTTCGAAGGTTCATTGTGTAAGTGCAAGGCCCAGAGTCTAAAGCCTCGCAAATCGACCCTAAACCCTAAACCCTCAACGACGAGATAAACCTTACCATTGCTTAGGGTCACATTCCTCAAATTTCCTCAATCTCTCAAAAGTTCAAAACCAAAAATCCGTCCCCAAACCCAAAGCACTGGCAATAAACCCTTAACCCTAAACTCTGAACCCTAAACCCTAAACCCTGAACCCTAAATCCTAAACCCTGAACCCTAAACCCTGAACCCTAAACCCTAAACCCCAAACCCCAAACCCTGGAAGAAAATGCAGGGTCCCGGGCTTGAGCTGCGGTGCTACGAAGGTGGCCTTGAGGCGTGTCCTTCAGCCATTGAAGTTTAGGAATCTAAGATTTAGGGTTTTGGGCCCAAAAAGTTTAAAGTTCTTCTACTGGCTAAGTAAGTAGTAATAGCAAGGGCTATAAATATATATAACTATAATATAATGTACGTGTTATCCAGCTGCTGCTGGGTGAGGGCAGCACCCAACTTTAGGGCTTGGAAGCAGCTAGAGTTCTCAGGTTTAGCGTTTAGGGTTTAGGGCTTAGGGCTTAGGGCTTCAGGCCTGGTGTTCAGGATGTCTCGTTTCTAAGGTTTGGCTAGTAAGGCTTCTGGTGTGGGATGGAGGGCGCGGAGAAATTCTCAAAACAGCTACCATCCTGGCACTTAAGGACATACTTGCTGAGTTGCTCCCCAAAAACCTAAGCCTAAATCATAGTGCTGAGATGGGAGCCCCCTTCAAAGCGCCGCCCACCAACCCCAAATAGATTGGGCCCGAAGAATCCCTAGTAGGGGGTTTTGGGCTTGAGGGGCCGCTATTGGGGGACCCATAACAACCCTAAACGAATTTAGGAGTTTAGTATCTTTGGCTCACCGTCGATCATGGGTTTTGACTGGGGAGGTCGGAGGGGGGGCGAAATTAGTAAGGATATTTCTGTAATCCCACTCGACGTAATGCCCCCAGTCATCTCCAGTACTACCCACTTCCTAAGCCCCCCTGACCCTGGAATTAGCGCAGGCTAGAGAAAAAAAATGTAACCAAAGATCAGGGTCGCTTCTTCGAACATATTCCCATAAGGCTATGATCCACAATATACAGAACAGCATTTACCCACATGCAGAACGTTTGACAATTACGAATGCATTTAGACCATAGCTCACATGGGAGCCCTGTAAGGAACTTTCGGGGTTACACTACTGCGTATATTGGGTGGCGTGAGTGATTTGGGGCAGATATCCGATTGCAGAAACGCAAGCCCCAAGCTAATTTTCTTTGAGCCTAAAGAAATAATATAAGAGACGGGGCGCGGAGCGTTATCAGGGGAAGCCAAAAATAATCCACCAAATCAAGATCCTACACCTTCAGCCCACCCTAAACCCTAAGCCCTAAACCCTAAGCGCTAAACCCTAAGCGCTAAACCCTAAACCCTAAACCCTAGACCCTAAACCCTAAGCCCTAAACCCTAAACCCTAAACCAGATACGATCCTGAAGATCGTTTTCCCTCCACCGCCCTTCTCCACGATTTCGGAGCAAACCAGTTCATCCTTGCGCGGGCTTTGAGGGTTTAGGGTTTAGTGTTCAGGGGTTGTGGTTTGGGCTTCGGGGTTTAGGGTTTCGGGTTTAGGGTTCAGGGTTTAGGGGTTGTGGTTTGGGCTTCGGGGTTTAGGGTTTCGGGTTT